TATATGACTGTCTGCCTGGCCTACCTGGGTACACCTGGTACTGCGCATACAGTTAAGTCGAAAAAAAATTTGCCCAAAAAAAGTGTTTGATTCAAATAATAATAATGACTATCCGTTAGCTAAGTTTATAAACAATTAAGAAAAAAAATGGCAGACACTTCTGAAGGGGTTTACATAGGGGCAGACGACCACAAAGTTGTATTTTCAAAAATTCCAAAAAAAGTGTTTGATTCAGTCTGCCATTTTTACAGCGTGTTTATTATGTATAATAAAATATTCTCACAAAAAGGCAGACAGTTTCTCCGGGGGTTACTAATTTAAAAATCTATACAAATAAATAATCACTTTTTAAATGGTCCATATTTCCTATCATAATAATTAATACATCTGTATCACATGATTTGATAAGTACATTGACAGCAGAATCCGATTCCAATTGACAAACATGAAAATAATTATACTTTTTTAAGATTATTTAAATAGCTGCTGATAAAATAAAAAGCTGTTCCCCGCGACTTCGCCCGCATATAATTTAGGGTTTTATTTTTTTTGCGCGGTACCCTAATAATTTTTTTTAAATTTAAAAGCAGCCTAAAATACTCGTTATAACATCAATTATCTGCCAGTGAAAGTCCCGTCAAAATCGGTCCAGCCATTTCGGAGATTAGTCGGAACAAACAGACAGACAAAAATTTTAAAAATTGTGTTTTATAAATATCGTATATAATGTCTTATGCGTTTAGTAAAAAATTGTTATTTTGAAATTAAAAACAGACATTTAAATTTTATTTATTTGTATAGATTTTTAAATTAGTAACCCCCGGAGAAACTGTCTGCCTTTTTGTGAGAATATTTTATTATACATAATAAACACGCTGTAAAAATGGCAGATTGAATCAAACACTTTTTTTGGAATTTTTGAAAATACAACTTTGTGGTCGTCTGCCCCTATGTAAACCCCTTCAGAAGTGTCTGCCATTTTTTTTCTTAATTGTTTATAAACTTAGCTAACGGATAGTCATTATTATTATTTGAATCAAACACTTTTTTTTGGGCAAATTTTTTTTCGACTTAACTGTATGCGCAGTACCAGGTGTACCCAGGTAGGCCAGGCAGACAGTCATATACCTGCTTATTGAGTCGACTGATACCTTTAAACAAAGTTTCATGATGCATCAAACACTTCATGAAAAATGCGTCATGAGCTCTCGGACCATAATTCTTAACAAGTATTCGTTTCTTTAGTAGTCATCATCATGAAATGATGTCTGGTAAAAAAAAATGTTCTAATCAAAATCGGTCTAATGGGCTGCTACGGTGAAACATGCAAACGTGGTAGAGCCACGCTGCATGTATATTATGGTTGTTGCAGGAATGGGTCGGCTCGACCGGGATAGGACCACGCTCTCATAGTACACCAGCGTGAAATAGCATCTTGATGCTGCAGTGTTTCCTATGGTGAGTGTAGAGAAGCAGAGATCCTTTTTACTGGAATTGAGGCATTCCACCTTAGTCCTCAGGGTTGACAACGCATCTGCATTCTGATTCTTAATATAGCATAAATGTAGATGTCTATGGGCCACAGCATCCACTTACCATCAGGTGGACTTTGTGGTCGTTTGTATATTGTATAAAAAACATCGTTAGAAACATACATACATAGAATGTCAAGAACAGAACCTTTTATCTAAATAGTCGTAATCGGTTAAAAATATAGGTTGTAAGCTGGAAAGTAAGAACCTTTCGTTGTGTAACAAAACATGGCAAAGTAACCGTGATATCGTGACATCACTGGTATGGTAACTTTGCCAAGTTATTTTTATAGCTAAATGTTAAGATCAACATGTTTTAAACGATATAGTAAGCTACTACAGAGATATAGATGCCTACATTTAATATTTCAAAAAAAAATCAACAAAAGTTCTGGAGCACTGAATATAGAGGTTATTTCGTCGGCACAATTCCGCGTTAAAATAAAATGCCAAAATTAACTCTCATGTTACCATATTCAAAGCAATGCTGTCAATTAGTTGTATTTTCATCCAAAAAAATTGCAGATCTCGAAAAATGTTACGTTTGCCATGTAAATATTGATCATTGTAATTTTGTACCAATACACCCCTGATGATAATGTTAACTTCCATTAATAATAAAGTTATCAGACTTGACTCTATAAAAAATAATCAAATGTGTCCGCACGTCTTTACGTACATACAAACCAATCCAAACTCTTAATTATTATACTAAAAATAATAGATTTGTTTGGAATCTGTAGGTTCTAATAAATATAGCTTTTTAGTTAAGAAGTGCAATGCTTACAAATTTGTAAGCATTGCACTTCTTAACTAAATATTGTATGTAATTACAAAGGTGACAGATGACACGGATATATAAGAGGTTAAGGCTTTGTAATAATGTTTATGGTAATTTTATTTTCGAATGGTAGCAATTATTACATATTGAATGTAATCTTATTTTGTTTATCATTCATCCCGATGTTAAAAGACCTGTCGCTCAGGTAAATATCTCGCAGCATTATTGTAATCCATGCACCGGCACCACGGCAAGGAAACCCCTTTATTTCAGCGAAGCAAACTTGCCGAATGTATAATGAATACGACAGCCCGCATAAATGTTTTCCATGTTTCGTATTTACGAACCGTGGCTCGATAACATAATCGGATTGCACGTTACATCGATTCGCGTCAACGGACGTGAGGAAAGTATGATGTCAGGTTGCGCATACGAAGAAAGTAAAGTTGCGCGTGCGACGCTGAAGCACTCTTGCTTTCGTACGGGGCCGCGGCGTCTGCGCGATAGCGAAAACGGCACACTTCTGTCGCCGCACCATCCGGTATTCAGGTCTTGATTATGAAATCGAAACTTATTGATTCAACGATGTTCATACGCTGTGCTTTTTTCATGGAAGACGTGCTATAGGGCACATCAAGTTTGTTGCTCCCTTCTTAAATTATATTTATTTGCTTTATCCACATCCACACATATTAGTTAAGGTTTGATAAAGATTAAGCTAGCGTATAGCACTTGAGGATACGTAGAGGCACGTTACACAGCGAGCGCAAGGCTACTACTGTCACTCGTTCGTGACCCGTTGACTGATTTTAAGAAACTAGGTCAAGATCTTTAATTTATTTAGCTTTTGATATTGAATGACTTGTTGCACCTCCAGTAAGACATGAGTTAAATGCATACACTCATAATTTTTTTAAAGACAATATCTATACAGGCCTATGATAAAATAATATAATAAAATATTACTTTATCAAGAGAAATATAATGAAGTAGTTATAGTATAATTTCAGTTTACTTTTTTAGATTATTGAAGTATTTACAAATTAAAATATATTTTTATATTGACAATATCCATATCTATAGTTTTTTATATAAATAAAACATAAATTATCTAATCTGTAACCTGTGGTCTGATCTGTTCTTTATTATTATATTCTTTATTATGATTATTAAGATTCAAGGAGAATAAGCAAATAGCTGAAATGATTGTTTTAAATCGTTGCTCTGTTGTGGGTCTTCACGAATTATGGTAACTAAGCAGCTGGGCGTCGGGTGCCGGCTTTTTCTGCTTACAGATAATCACGTTTTAGGGCTGTAACAAGTTTTATTTACTCCATTATAGACTTGAGACATTTTAACAAATGAAAAAAATTAAAGCTATTGCTACGTACTATTTACGGTCTATTTCTTTTCTTGCACTTAACGGGACATAAGTACGGGAATATTATGGTCATTTTACGATCCCGGAGAAAGTCAGGTAGGTTCAAACTTGCCGCTTTTATAGTTTTAATCTTTGTTTAAGTTTTTACATTTTTAGGATACGGTACAAAAGATGTTGTTAACATGGATTATCTAGAATTTTATAAACGTTTGAAAAAATTGCAGAGAAGGAAAGCGGAGTATCTTTAATTATATATTTAGTTGTCAACGTGCATTCCCAGTAAATGTTTAATAGCACTTAAAAGCTTAATGTAGGCGTTTGACGGTTTAATAGCTCTTATAGACACCCGTCATAGCAAGGTCCTTAAACATAATACGAAAGCGACCAAGAGGTTGCACCTGCGTCGTCAATCGTCGTCACCGCGAGCAGAACTTTTTTAGTAGATGTGTCTGCGGTGCGTTAGCGAGTGGTGTACGAACGTAAACAAGCAGCGGGCGGCGGGCGAGGCAACCCTGCCCTGCTGCGGCACCGCGCGCAACTGGGTCAGTGGGCCGCCCCCCGCGCCGCCCCCGCGCGCTGTGGCGCAACCGCGCACTAACATAGACCTGGATCGCGAGAAAGTGGGTCACCGACTCACTTTCACTTATTACATGGGCTCCTAATCGTTTTCCATTGTGCGAACGGGCGGGGGCCCGCGGCGGGGCGCGCATGCGGGAGGCGCCAGCACGCGCGCCGCCGCCGCCGGCCGGCCGCCAGTCGATCGCGAAACGTCCCTCGAGCGGCACGCGTGCTGCCGCCGACCACGCTCTCCACGCGATCGCAACTTCGCGCGTCCGCACACCGCACCCGACCACACGAACAGTCGTCGCAGCGACCGGCTGCGACTCGCACGCACGCTCTCTGAATATATCTGTACTCGCTTAGAACAAAATGTGCCGGATTTATGTGTCGCCAATAGTAGTGTTCAAACAGGTGCAGCCCGCGAGCGGCAGATAGTGTTGCGGTTAGACCGCTTGTGAACTCGGTGACTGTGTGAACGTTGTCGCGGTTGAACGCCGCCGTAGGGATTCCTTTACGAGCAGCCGCTCTGTGCGGCCGAGCATGACGATGGACCAGCAGACAGGCCTTATGTCCCTCAACATGTCCCCGTTCGACTTGAGTCCGGGTCCCGAGGGCTCCGGATCAGGTGGTGGACCATCAGGTGCTTCACAGCAATATGTGCCGCAAGGTGCGGCCTATCAGTGCGCCCCGGACCAACAGCCTTTTGGTTATGCAAATTTGGACACTTCGTATCTATTCCCCACAGGAACCGGTGAACCAGGCGCATACTTGCCTGCAGCCGGCACTGTATGCGACCAAACTGACACCAAGGATGTTATAGAGGAGTTGTGCCCCGTTTGCGGAGATAAAGTCAGTGGTTATCACTACGGTCTTCTTACTTGCGAGTCCTGCAAAGGGTTCTTCAAGCGGACCGTTCAGAACAAGAAAGTGTACACGTGCGTCGCCGAGCGCGCTTGTCACATTGACAAAACACAGAGGAAACGATGTCCATTCTGCCGCTTTCAAAAATGTCTGGACGTCGGCATGAAACTTGAAGGTGAGTGTTGATTTTCCTACACATTTCATATTATTTTAAAAATCGATATTTACCTGAGATTCCTTGCGTCAATATGAGTTAAGACTGATATACGAATGTATGTGGGTCGTACGTAAGCGAGGTTGCAAACCGCGGCCCGAAGGCATTACATCATGCAGCGGCGGCTAATGCATAAAAATTGAAAGTTTTCAGCGTTGAGGAAAAGAGGTATCATTGCAACTGCAAGTTTACAGCTTGGCCGGTTGCAACTCGTCGCCGACCTTCACCTACTAAATATTTCCAACAGACGATTGGCATCTTGCTGTTTTTGGCTTACGGGCTCATTAATGCTGGAAACGACACATTATATTAATTAATGAAAAACTGTTGCAGCATGCAACATTTCAATCACTTTGAAAGATATATTTATAAATAAATAAGTGTCTATTTCTAAGTTTTGATTAGGCTTTAATAAAAGTCTTTTATTTGTACATTTTGTAATATGAACACATTTTGCAGTTGCATTTAGTTCGTATTTAATTTTGATACTAAAGTTTATTTTAGTTGTAGTTTATTATAATTCTAGCTCGAATGGGTCGCCTCGACCGGGTAAGGACCTTGCTCTCACAGAACACCAGCGTAAAATAACAAACGCTGCTGTGTATCGTATGGTGAGTGTAGAGAATCGGAAACCCTTTTTACTGGAAACGAGGCAATCCATTTTAGTCCTCACGGGTGACAACGCATCTGCATTTTGATTTGTAATAGATGTAGATATCTATGGGCCACAGCAACCACTTACCATCAGGTGAACTGTATGCTCGTTTGTCACCCTTATCCTGATAAAAAAAAAACTTAATATAACTTAACTCAAAATAATTAATAATTTTGCATAAAAGTCAATTATATAAATTTATATTTGATTATACTTTTCGTTATTGGAATAATAGATTTACTAAATCAAATAGTTCAAAACGAAGTATTAAAATAAAAGACAGTATGTATGTCAATCAATTTCACTAACAGGTATATTCAATCACCCAACATATTATAGTTCTAATGGTGACGGTGCTGAATATTTTCCATAAAATTCAAGTTTACTTGAAGGCATTACAAGTGAAGTACATCACATATATATAAAGAAAAATAGATTTAAATACACCAACATTTATTTAAAACAACTAGAAATTTGTCAAAATAATAAAATTTATTTTCAACATTTCAACGAACAGTCAGCAACAGCGCTATATTTCATTTGCGGCGAAGTTGCGATATAAACTTGTTTATTTGCTATTTTGTAAGGGATACCAAGTCTATATAACCAGTTTACAAGCAGCAGGGCTAGCCCCAAGGTTCTGCACGAGTTACGACGGGTACTTTTCAATTCTTTCCGTGCAATGTAATTGATTATTGTTAAAATCACTTAGTGCATCTACGTTATTGAGCGCAAGGCCTAATTACTATTAAGAGTTAGCCATTAAATTGCAATTGCTAAATATTTAAGGAACCTTTAACAATTAACCAATATATTAAGGCTAAATTATAAAAACAAACGTAGGCAACATTGAGACCCTGGTTGGTGACAAGATTAACCGAAGTATGTGAGGATGCGGAGACAGGTGGAAATTTTGAAGGTAGCGCATTAATTTGTATAGTTAAGAGATCGCGGGGCGGGGTTTTGTAGCGCGGATCGTTCTAAATTTAAAACGCGCGCGGCCGCAGAGCGCCCTGACCTACTTGCGAGCGGGGCCACGATGCGGCGCGCGCGCCTGTGCGTGCACATACGCAACGCGAGGTTGCCGCTGTGCGCGTAAGCTGCTCGCCATCGTGTTTCGCCAGATGCTGCGATGTTTGCAACATCTATTACCCGCGCTGAAATTTGAATAAACAAGCCTGGAAAGGATTCGCATGCAAGGCTTCTATGGCGCATACGCCTTATAAAGTAGGGGTTATTGGGCAGATTTTTCAATGTTTTTCTTTTAGCTATCTTCTAGCTCGTCTTGATGTTGTAATAACACTGCATTAAATCTGTAGTAGATCTGTTAAATCTCTGTAAGGTTAAGCTACAAACGGTAACGATTTATGAATAAAATATAAAGTCATAAAATGAAATAGATTTTAAAATTTGAATTTAGATTTTTTGGATTTAAAGTATTTTTTTTTTTAGATAACTTATAACTCCTGTCACTTGTTATATTTGTTTATATAAACCATTGGAACCATATAACAGATTATAGTTTAAAATGTTTAAACGTGTATAGTATATTTTTCCCACAAAATGTAATTTTGTTTTTGGAATAAATGACTAAGACAGAATGTATGTCAATCAATATTATGTACTACTGTTATATTGTGTTAGTAAAACTAGAGAGGTACCATCAGATACAATTATACATCCCATAGTTCAACTCCATTAAGGAAACGGAGCACGTATCATTACATTAATAGATGACGCTTTTGTTTGTAAAAATATTCAGTACTTTATTAATGTACTATGATTGCAATCGCGTAAAGTAGAACCAGTAGTATTTTAGAATACCTTAAATTATTTGAACACAGACGCTAATTACTACATTATACGATGTATTAAGTCAGGATAACAAATGATGATTGTAAGTGTTTGTAGCGTAACCTGAAGAGTGGTATGTCCACGGGAACGTCGCGACAGACGTCGTTGTTACTTGCTTCTTTGTAAGACAAATTAATAGTTATTTAATGATACAGCCTTCACCGATTATATCACGAATCAATACAACCGCTGTTACGTGTCATTTCGCGATCGAGATTCTCAATTGAACAAATGTTACGCTTGCAATATACGATTACAGTATTTTATTTGAAATGAAATAGTAACATTATGATCTCTGCAATGTGTTGAATTCAACTCCTCCGCTTATCAGACGGTGGTCCCAACGTGACCTTTAAAAACTATCTACAAAGAATACGTCTTAACTACTTGCTAGATGGACTAAGGCCGGTCACTTACATACGGAATTCTGATGCGGGATTCCGTTTCGGAATTGCGATTCGGGATTCCGTAAATACATATCACACACATACGTTTATTTCCGTTCGGAATAACAAGGGTCAGTTGAGAGACGTTAGCCATTAAGTCTATACATTCTTTCAGCGAATAATGACGACGATTTTCTTGACGATTACGATTCCATTGTTGCTGTACCATTCTTACTAGGTGCATCCCCTTATCACCTTAAGCTTGCAATATAGTCAATATTATGTAAAAGATCTACCTATCCAGAGAGTTTTTTAAATATGGATGTCTGTAAATTCTTTCGACGAATTATTAAATGAAATAAGATGAAAGGTTACGAAAAGCTATACACATATAAGATTAAATGTAAAAACATACATAAACACACCTACTCGCTTCGGTCCTGCGACGAACAGTGAGTGCGTGCCATACGGAATTTACGAATGTACGTTGCGACTCATACAAAATCTATGGAAGACTTGCGTTCGGAGCGGCTTTTTTCCGTTCGGGATTCTGAATGCACAGGCGGTCATACGGATTCTTGAATCAGAGAAAAATAACCTACTGTACGTGTGGCGGATCATAGATTTTATATATCGACTTGCTGCGTTCGGAATTCCGAATCGGAATATCGAAACGGAATTCCGTTTGTATGTGACCGGCCTTAGTAAATAGATAGGCCTTAGCATAATGATTTGTCATTTATTTTCTTTAAAATTTCTATAGGTAAACATGGAATCCAGATTCATCTTATTATTTGATTATTATCGATATTACTAATTCTGGCGTGATAGCTGACGTCTTAATTTACTATTTTACAACATCAATTTGGTTTGAGTTATAATAAATGATATCAAAATAGAGTAACTTCACAACTAAAGAAATCCATTCTCCTGTACAGTCAAGAATTTCGTCAGTCTTCTCAGTGGAGATCATTAAGTAACGGTTGTTGAACAATGTTGCAAATTACGATAGCGACGATTTAACAAATATATTGCAAGTATTGTCGGAGAAAAGTGCAAGATCGAGTCTTATTATTAATGTAATTGCATAATGTTAGATGGCATAATTGTTTGCTTATTTACTCGTATTTTCAAAAACTGCAATAACGGTATATCATTATTTATATGTTTTAACTACTCTTTGAAAAATAACCCTGTATATGCCATAATAGTCCTTAATTATTTTATATTTTACCCCCACACTAAGATTTTTGCTGTATTGTGGAGGCAGTATTCATACCTAAATCAAAGCATCCAGACCCGGAGCAATTATTTGTAAGCCATACAAGTACTTATTCCGTACGCGATTCGAACCCACGGCCCTACGCGCCCTAGCTCAAGCCACTATTCCGCGAAGTGAAATAATTATTTTCATGTAGTAAAAGCCGATCACACTTAATCTCACGGCTGTTAGACGGGAAATGAAGCTGCAGTCTTCAGCAGATTTGACATCACACAGGCAACTGAACAAACAGACTTCCAAATGCTTGCGGCGGGACTTACGCAACTTTAATACTGCTCTTATTGAGGAAGCGATCGAGCGGAACCAGGGCTCCAAAGGCTTTGCCAGAGATCTGTCTGCCAGAAAGAGCCAACTGTCGAAGCTGAAGACCGAATTTGGCAGCATCGTTTCCGGGACACCTGAGATTTTGAGTGAGATTTAGTGGTTCTATGGACAGCTGTACACGTCATGGTTGGAGCCACACACAAGTATGAGTAACGATCAAATGTCACAAACAAACCAGGGTTCCAACAGGTCCACACAAAGACACTAAGTTTTAGAGCTTTTGCCACTAAATCGGGACTTAAAACATTAGTTGATTCATTTAACTTACCGTATCATTTGAAGTGTCTGTATCAAATGATCGACTTTACGTTAGGTTTCATAGTTATGAGATGATATTAATCATGTAATCTGCTTATAGGAAAAATAAGTTAAAAAAATATGTTCGTGGCAAAGCTCTAAAAGCAAACCATGACGACATAACATGAGAAATATTAGACAACAATGAAGAACAATTTTACTA